ATTATATTTAGGTGCCGGAGAAGCTTTGGATTTCACACTAGTATAGCTGAGTGTGGAACTTGTGGAGACAGTAAGTCAAGATACATGAGATCAGAATTTGGATCAGTACATTTGGGAACAAAGAGTGAAATAAACTCAGCATATTATGCACAAGTCAGGGAAAGAAATGATTAGTAAGCTCCAAGCGTGGTTACTTGTGTGCTGTTGAGGTTGCCAGGGAAAAGTAAAAGAAAACATTTGTTGTAAACTAAAATCAGCAAGTACAGACTTTCGAGACTTTGGTTCTTTGACCCCTGTTGCTATAACTTCCCTGGAACTATGTGTATGTTTGTTTTAAGGAAATTATAGGTCAGTATAATATCAATATCAGAGAGACATAAATTACAGGAAGGAAGTACATGATAAAAAATAAAAAGTCCAACTTTCCCCTCTTGAAACCTGTGAGTGAAATTTTCTTTGGTTGCCAGAGAAACGTCATCATGTTATATTTTTTTTGTCTGGTTTGTTAATAAATTCTCAATAGTCTTTAACCATACAAAGTCTGTATTATGTTTTCTTGAATCAAAATAATAACTATTTTAGAAAATAAGACATATTTGAGATAATTCCTTCTTAGGAAAAAAAAATGTTAAAAACATGGAAATATTCCATGGATGGCTAGAGCATTGCTAACGTACTTGAAATAATTTATGAAAAACTAATTATTTTTTACACCAAAATACCTTAATTCCAACACAAACATGCCACTGCCTATTTTTTAAGACTATGAGAACTTTGCCATTGTAGTCTTAAAAGTATACACTGATCTTGGGCAAAAGGAAAGCCAGCTTTACTACTCTTTTTGCTGTGGGATCGAATACTGAACTTTTGCCTACTTCTCACCATGTTTACCTAAAAGAAGTCAGCTGAATCTTCAGCTAAGCAGATCCAGGATTATCCAAAGAAATGTATGCTCTTTAGGAAGTAATAGAAAACCAAAAATTTCCATAGAAACCAAAATATTTTGCAGAAATTATCCAGATTCAACAAAATTTAGCTGACACATGGCAGAGCAGGGAGGGTGGCTGGAGCTGCAGTTCTCAGGCACAAACGTTCCCACTTCCTCTTGGTAAGTGCCTGAACCCTCTTGGAATCACTGTAGTGACTACTGTTGCTTCTAGAAAAAGCCAACAGAATCATTTTTACTGTATTGAAATAACAGGTTTGCAGAATTTCTGCTGAAGTAGAATTTAAAAAAWTCTTTTGTTGTTCACCTCCAGGGAATGTCAGAATTCTGAGCAGATTTCTCTGTTTCTGGTTTGCCATGCTTAAAAGAAGAARAAAAAAAAAGGTTCCTTAATCACTTCCCAGAATCTAAATGCCAGCCATATGCACAGTACTTTTGTGTTACTAGTCTCAAGTTGTTTATTTTGAATACAGAAGGAAACTTGTTTAAAAAAATTCTATCCCTATTTTTATTTATTTATTTATTTATTTATTTATTTATTTGTGTTCTTTTCTGGGAGAAATAGAATGGAAATTTGGTTAGGGTTTTTTTTTTTTTTTTGAAGAGATATATTTGTGGGGTGTGGATAATTTAAGTTCCTTGTCAAAATTCTACTACTCTCACAGTTCTACATCTTCCAGACTTCCAGACTATCTGATGTTTTCATTGTTGTCTAATGGAACACATGTTGCTTCTATGGAAAATGTCAATCATACTATTGAAAATAGAAATCATTACTTTAAAAAATCTTTTTGATGTGTATTCGTTCTTACTTGCTCATTTCTTTTTGGTACTTCTTTAGAATGTTTTTTGTTTTATACAAATATACGGAGGAATCTAATTCAAGCAGACTATATTGTCTGGAAGTGAATGATACATTGGATGACTGTTCAAGCTCAAAGGTTCGCAGAATACCTGTTAAYTGCTCAATGGAGCCATCTTTTTGTTTTGTTTTGTTTTATTTTATTTTATTTTTGTTTAGTTTTTAACAGCTCTTCTAATGTTAGTTGAAAGAAAAGATGTACTCTGTATTTTCTGTTAATGTTGTTGCCACTGGAGTATTACTGTACTTTTGAAAACAGGATGGCAGGTTGAGGAGTGGACTAGGAAGGAAAATAAAGATAGTGTGGAGGCATTCGCTAGATTAAGATACTCCACCAGAGAAGCATAGGAGCCTTTCTCTGGATGAGGGAATAGGTCTTTCTGAATGGCAGTCTCACCAGAAGTATGTGATCTGGTAGCACTTGATCAGTCTCTTTTACAGCCGACCTCTACTAGACAGCCACTCAGTAGAGCTCATCTACCAGGCAAGAAATTCAGATCTGCACTGAATCCTTAGCCCACCTGTGTGCGTGTGTGTAGGATGCCACTAATGCTAAGCTCATGTAACAAATATTTAAATGCTTCGTACTTAATCCTTGTAAAATTCCCTTGGAACATCCTGTCATCTTGAAAATGGATCCAAGTTGAAACATTTATTACCGTTAGTCTGTTTTATTTCACTTGGTTTTGAAACAAATGAAATGAGAGTAGGGACTAGTATCTGATACTTCTCCAGGGTACTGCTTCTTGCACTAGCAACAGGATGAAATCAGTGCCTCGGTTCCTTTCCACTTCTGTAATCATCAGGATTTACAAGCATATCAGTAAGACTGTTTGTAATTGTAGTATCATGTGACAATGTGTTTTGAGGTGTTACAAGGCAGTCAGAATTGCCAGGGAAATTTTGCAGATGTTACAAAAGAGGCTGTAACATTACTCAAAATGAAGTCCTACGTAGGTTATTTCACACAGTCTAATTGATGAGAAGTTATGCAACATAAAGCATCATTTTAGATTAGCCACTAGGGTATAAATAATGCTTTCATTGAGGCTTTTTCCATCTGGGTATCATTGGAGTACTTTCTTGTAATCCTCATCATGATGATACAGTTCTCTAGTAATTTGCATTTTAAGAAAGAAAATTATTCCAAATCATTCTCAATTCCTCAAGACAGTGTTGGGGATGAAAATGTGTTCATAGAACAGGGGACTTGATAATTAGATCTCATAGTTTAGACTTTCCAACCTTAATGATATTTGCAGCATAGTGCAACATTCTTTCCTTGGAGACATGCAAAAAGAAGACAACTKGAAAGAAATTAGCATAAACAAATACAGATTTGAAAATATATCTCTGACTGTACAATCTACTTATGAAGACTTTGGAAATTCTTCTAGATGCATGCTTCTATCTAGTCTCTTTTAAAAAAAATGTTTTACTGTGGAGATGTTATAATGCTACTCTTAAAGAAGAGATCAGCATGGTCTTAATAATAGCATTCTCTTGMTGAGCAAAAGTTTGTGATTCTGTTACTTAAGTCACATGAGAATCTCTTCTAATGCCAAGYTTCAAGTAAGAGATACTTAAATAAGCTGAAAATTGCATTCACCCCAGTTTACAAAGTTTTACAGTTCTACAAAGAGAAATACGAAATGGATTTTTTAACTATCCCAATTTAATGAAGAATTTTTTGCATATTTTTCGTTAGGCAGCTGACCCACTGAGTATATGTAGTTTCACAAATAAAAAGAGAATAGCTTCAATTGTTCGTGTCTGATTTTGTGAGGTTTTAGATTTATAATAGCTCAGAATGAGAATGCCCTACAAAATCTTGAAAGTTCTGTTGGCCTCAAAGAAGAAAATCCTACATAATTCGACAGATAATTTTCTATGACTGCAGCTTGAGAAGAATTGAGTGATTTTTCATTTTAATTAAACAGAGGTACACTATGAACATGGTTGCAGACAGGGGTAAATTGCTTCTGGAGAATGAAGAATGGTAAGAATTGTAAGAATGGTAAGAATGAAGAAAGGTAAGAATGAAGAATGGTAAATCGCATATGTAGAATGAAGAAGGACAGGTCAATTTTAATCCAAATCAAACTGACATAATAATTGAGGCATTTTGCATGTTTATTGCCTTTCAAGTTTGATTTCTCCCTATTTTCATACATTTATGATAATGATACAGTGTTATTTGCTTTGTTATTTGCTTTAGTTAGCTAAGGAAGAATTGGTAACTAGAGCATTATAAATAAGCTATATATCTATAAGAGATTCATAGAAATCATTTTCAAAGTCAGGTTTATAACTTCTAAGCTTTATGCCTTTGTGACTTTAAGGAATATTGTTTTCTATAGAATTGCCTTCTCAGGTAGGAATCATGAAGTTACTTAGCTTTCTGTTGTGAATAAACCATCCCAGAAGTGATAAAAAGAACTAAAGTAATTATTAGGAAAAATCAGTTATTTCTTTCCCCAAGATGCTACTTAAGTGCATTTTTATGATTCCTGGGTTCTGCAAAACTCCCTTGCAGGTTTCATGTTCTTTTTATGTCTGAATAAATTCAACTTAAGTTAACCTTTATGTAAATGACAGTTATATATTGTGTGAAGAGCTACAAACCATTTTTTCAGAGAAAGATCTGTACTCRGCATTCATAGAACCCCAAAGAAGCATGACTGCATTTTTAGGATAGTCATTCAAAAAGAACAGATACAAGACTATTTTTAGAAAGTACTGTCAAGGCATTGACTGCAGTCAGCAGTTGCAGAGTGAAAGCCTGAAGACCAAGCATGCAAAAAAAATTCTGATTTTTTTCTTTAAAAATTGACAAAGCAGTAGAAAATATTCTTGTGTGTATTTTCTACTAATATATTTTTGAGCATAGTGAAGGATGCTTGCTGAGCTTCATATGTACATGGAACCATCGAAAGTCCTCTTTTTATTAAAATAAATATCACAAAAGTACATGTGTCAGGATTGGGGTGACTCTTAGAGGGTAATTTTGGTTACTAGATATCCAAAATGATACAATAAGTTGCATATGAGTTGGCATATGATTGAACCATACATGCTTACTTTACAACAAAGCTACCTTTTCTAATCGGCACAGTGTTAACTCACCTCCTTCTGTGTCTTATCTATAGAATATGATTACATATATTTTCATTCAATTTTTTCTTAATTTAGATTGCAAGGAGAGAACTTGGCAGAAAGACCAGAAGATGGCTTAGTGGTGTCTGAAGCTCCTGAGCCTGCAATGTCAGACTCTGATGGTAAGTTATAGACTACATATTTCTGCCCATCAAGACCACTAGCAATTAGACTGAAGAGCAGAGATTATGGGAAGATTCATTTCCAGTGAATATTCCTGGGCATTTGAGCTCAATCACTTATGATTTAAATCTGTTAGAAGAGTTTCTAGTAAATAGGTTGTTTCTTGTATGTTGTCAAAGAATGGTCTTTGAAACAGTTGTTTTGATAGAATAGATATATGTATACATATGGTCCAAATGGTATACTGTAAAAATAAAAATAGTTACAGAATTTCTCCTCTGCTTTTAAACTATACCAAAAAAAAAAAAAAAAAAAAAACTTCTCTGATCTCTCTGAGCACCTCTGACAAGAATTAAAAGCATTCTAAAAAGGAGTTTATACAGTTTCTCTAAAGAACATTGCCTTCTACAAGCCTAATCGCATATTGTGCTGACCAATATTCAGGACACTCGGCCTTGTTCCAATTTCTGCTCTGTTTGTTGTTGTTGTTGTTGTTTGCTTGTTTTGTTTTTAACAAAGGAACACCTGAAATAATTTTGATAGAAAAAGCTAATGGAAAAGGTTATTCCTAAGAGGTCCTTCCTATCTTCTAAGAGAATGTCCTGCTTTCCTCTGAAACAGAAATTAAGGGGGGACACAGAAGTAGCTCTGATTTTTCCAGAGATTCCTAAACAGATACATCTTTCAGTCTGTTCCCTTATTGCTGGGTAAAACCAGCAAAGTCTATCAATAGGAAGATCGATTTGCAGTTTAGTCTACAGCAATCACAGAGATTTTGATGGCTATTTCAACTACTTACAGCAAAACAAATCAGGAACCAGTTTTGTTATTTTTAATTATCCTTCTATATGACTGCTATTTATGCCTATTGGSTACAATAGCAATCTGATCTTTTGCTATTTTCATTTATAAATGAATTTATGTTAACATTAGTAACTATTATATCTTTAACAATACATTCTAATTGCTTTTTTGAGAATACAAACAATGCATTTTAATTGCTTTCTTGAGAATACATGGCTTAATGCAGTCATCCCATTTTTTTCTGTTTATCTATTGTTTGTCAGTTTAAACAAAATTAATACAGGACTCAAAATCACAGAATATTTTGTTTTTACAAGTCTGATGAAAATCATCAGCAAGAGAGACTCTGATTGGGTACTGCRCTGAAGCCCAGTGAAAGGGGAAAAAATTTTCAGTTGAAAGACTAATCCCAAGGAAAAGAGATGGTGGTGTTTTGTGTAGAATAGATGGTGAATTCTGTGCGCATGAGATTATGGCAGTGGAAAAAGGTAAAGGTGTAAGATGTATATGTGGCAGAAAAAAATCTACTGTTCCTGAAACAATTAATTTTAAACAGATCTCCACCCTTCTTTCCTGCATATTCTAGTTCCTAAATCAAAACTACACCTACCTTGCTTGTAGGCTTCTTTTCTGATTAGTGGGAGCAGAAGATTTGCAATGGTGCTAAAGGGCAGAAGCACCAGGATGCAAAAAGAGGGACCTGTCAGGAAGTGCTGGATTCTGTGTAACAATAAAGCTGCCTCTATCGTGATCACAGTGTATGGAGCACAGAATGCTGTAGCTATCTTCACTTTGACCACTTTATTGCACTGCTGGATATTCTCTATTTGGTATGGATGTAGAAAAGATTGAGCACCTTTTCCTAAAAAAAAGTGAAAATACAGGGAGGGAAAGGGAGATAGGTATGTAGGGCAACAAAATTCATACTGTTACCCTGTTATATCTACATTTATCTCGTAAATGTAAATATATGTGAACCTGTAAGCTATATAGCTAGCATAGCCTTTAGGGGAGAAATGCTGAGGTCAGCAGTGAAGTCTTGCCAAATTTCTGACAAGAGCATTCTCAGAAATGCTCTACCTTTTAAAAATCCTTTTTTTTTTTTTTTTCTCTAAAATGTTGGCTACCAATACCTTTTGATTACAAAAATGCAGCTGGCTTTTACAAATACTACCTAGAAACAGACACAAACTTTGGACAGCTGCCCAAATCTTTCCTATAAATGCAGCATATAATCTATTTTCTGCATAGCTGATATTTATTCCCCCAAATACTGTAAAGATGATAAATGAAACTATTCTTAGAAATGCCTAAACCAGGAATTTTGCTGCGCTTTGGATTTTTTGTTATGTCCTCTAAGAATGTGACAAAAAGTTTCACTTACCAGATTTTTCCAGGACTATATGAATTTATTTTTTTGCTCTTACTTATGAGTACCAGTGACTCTGCAGAGAGAAAACTCCACAACGAGAAGTGCTGATGCACACCTCTGGTTCAGGAATATGCATGCATGGTCCTGCTCCTCAGCAAAGTTGAAATATCTCTCTCTGGATAATGATTTGTTCCTGAGTTTAGTGGGCAAATTGTTAAATTCTTAGACCTGGAACTTTTCTCTTGTGGATTTTGGATGTAATAGGTTTAGTTGTCTGCATATCTGATCTAACAGCCTTTACAAATAAGCCTCACTGAAGCAATTCCACCTAATAAAGTCAAAGCAATAGCTTGTGTAAAAAGATCATCTGCAAAGTAAGACACTACCCTGACTCCGTTGACAGTGTTGACCTGCTTTTAAATAACCACAATACTGATTTCTCTGTAGTATGGTCCTGCTGAATTAAACAGARTTGCATTTGATATAAGTAGTAAAAAAAGAGAGGGGAAATTGGGCCTTGAGATCTGAAATCATAAGACTTTTTAACACTGCACTTTCTTTCTACTATCCTAAACAAAATCTTTCAAAAGTGGTTTTCTTTCCCATAGGGCCATATATCTTCACAGAAATAATTAAGTGGACAATTAAATAGCTAGGTTTCTGATTACCAGARGTAAATTTTGTGACTGCAGTGTAGATGCCTAGTCTCCCAGATTTCCCTCATGGATTATTCCTCCATTAAGCCACTTAGTCTGTCTTTGAAGGTTTTCCTCTATGCCTTTCTCCTCTTCTCTGTAGATAAATGAGTGGATGGGGTGAGGAGATCATTTCCAAAGATAGACACTTCAGCAGGACTGATCCAATAGAAATCTGCTGTCGTCAGCCCCCTGTCTGTTTTTGATGGTGGAGGAGTGTAGGCTTCATACACTGATGTGTGTTTTTTTTTCAGATTGTGTATTATGAAATATTGTCACTGAAAACAGAAGTGTTCATTTAAACCCAGTTGACCAAAAGTACCACAGGGACTTGTTCCCATCCCTTTTGCTGTTAAGTGCCTTACCCTTCAAGGGAAATCCATGACATAAAGCAGAACACAAGTTTTACTATGAAAAAAAAATGACAGCAAATAAGATCAGTCAATGTGTTTTTGTAAAGGGAAGCGTGAAATGCAGTATCTAATTCAGAAAAAAAAATCTTRGATAAAGGAAAAACATAGCACTTCTAAACTTTTAAAATACTGCTCAATTTGAGGAGTAGAGCCACTTTGCAGTATACCGTGAACATATTGCTGAAGTGTGGGAAAAGATTTGTTTCTTTTGTTCCTTGACCTGGAATAACATAATGGAATTGAAAATGGCAATTTGTCTGGTGCTATGCACAGTGTACGTATGATACTTCCTGTTCTGTTGTGTTGTCAGGTCTGCAGATTGCTTGTTTGTGTGTGTGTGTGTGTGTATGTATGTGTGTGTGCTAAATAAAATTCACATCAGTTCAGTCCCTACCTACATGAGTAAAATAGTTGTTGCTTTTTATTATTTGTGATTAAGCAGTACATATTTCTACCTAAAATGTTTGAAAAGAAAGCTGTAATATATAGCTTCTAGCTTGTGTTTTTGTTTGTTTGGTTGATTGTTTTTTCCTGTTAAATCACCAGTACAGTAAACATTTCAAGCATTTGGATTCAGGGCAAGTTTGAAATTAGGGGTATCCATTGTAGATAAGAATGAATCAGACATGTGTAGTGTTATTCCAGATGGARTTTTATTACTGGAAAAAAAATCAATATGTGGATAAGAATATGTGGTAATGAGGGGTGAGAATCAGATGTGACAGTGCAAAAATCATTCATTCAACGTTAGGCTGTTACTGAATCACCTACGGAGCCCCTGAAAGGTGTTTAAGAAAACCTACATCTTCAGCAAGTCCTGAAGTACTGTCAGAATTCAGCTAGGAGGAAACACTTCAGACTTCCCAGAGGCTCTCTTAAGTAAAAACAAGAAAAAAGCAAAAAGAAGAAGATCTCCCAATTTCTGACCACTTCATGACACTGCAACATCATTACTTCTTCCTCTTCCTCTTTCATTTGTGTTTGCAAWGAAAGTGGTGACCACGGCTGATGCAGCTTTGCATAGTTCAGTCTTTCTGCCAAGCATAGTCTGAGATATTTAACAAATTGTGTATTTCTGGGAATGTAAGGACCTGCCTGACAGTATCTGAACGTCAGCAGATTTCAGGGAATGCCAGGGCACCTTCCTTTTCCGACTGCTCATGCACAGCATCCCAGTGCCAGTAGACTCCCAGAAGAGCGGTGGCACAACCCAGCATGTTACTTGGAAATTGCTTTCTTTGGAATWGGCCCTTCAATTCTGACTTAAATCTTTCTGCATGCGTTAAAGAGATATTCTGGCTTTCTCATGAAGTCATGTTGCTTCACACTTATTAGGAAAGGCATAGGAAAAAGATCATGGTATGCATGGCCTTTAAATATTTTCTAAAATGTTCAGAACTGCATGTCGAGAATGTTTAGCTGCATTCTATTTGCTTTGATTGAATTGATTAAAGTTATATTGTTTTTATTAGAACTGAAGAGCTCTACAGTATAAAAGCCACACAGTATTTAATTTTAACAGTAAAAAATAACTAAAGCTGAAGTGTACCTTGCTCATCATAATAGTCATTTGTTACACTGCTCCAAATTGTGTTAWGCTTATTAGTATCAGTAAAGACATAAATTAAAATCTGTCCAAATGGAACCAAAAAGCAATGCTTGTTTGGTAGTAATACTATCCCAGCAGTTAACTTAGGCATTTTATTTTCAAAGTGATTAATTATGCTTCATTAGCATGACTTACTATTTTCTACCACTTTATAACAGCAGGAGTATCTGGGGTTGAAACACTAATGGAAGATATTGATGAATTTGAGAGTGGCCCTCAAGTAGCAGGATCTGTAAGTACTTTTCTTTATGGATAATCCTCTAGTTTTTGAAAATAATGTGGTAAAAATTGGATTTTGTGTAAGCATAATGTTGTACTTGCCAGCACTGTCATCCAGAAACAAAAAAAAACCCCATAAATAAAAACAACAATGAATAATAAAACTCCTTAATTTATCTGTCTCTTCTGAATATCCAGTCCATTTCTAAGGAAGTTTTGTTTTTTTCAGTCTGGGAACAGTGGTATTTTGAAAACTGTTGTTATTATCTCACATTAAACCATGCATTAGCAGTGACTTATTTGAATATCTCCTTTTGAAAGTGCAGTCATTTTAGACTATAACAGTATGTCCTCTAATGCTTATTTAGTGGTGAAATATCCATCTTATTAGTTTGCTAAACTTACAGAATGATTATTATGATTACTATTGAACMACAAAATAATTAATAATGAACAATACCAAAATAGTTTACATTCTAATTTAGTTATGAAATTTGGCATTACAACATCTCAACTATAATTTAGCCTTTTTGCTTACATTTGCTTGGAACTAATATATGAGATATTTATTTAAAAGTTCTAACTAACTTAACAATAGGGAAATGTCTTGATATCTTCATTGATATTTCTTATTTAGAAGTACAAGGAAATTTTTACAGTTTTGAGGGGGTTTTTTTAAGTTTTCATGTCTTTGGTAGGGTTGATCATAGAAAAAAAAAACACTTGGGAAATTTAGATTTAGATTTTCAATACCACACAATCCCAAAGTGAATACTAAATAAATAAGTAATGGTAATAGTAAGCAATTTGAGTATTTACAGGAGTCAGCAGTTTTCCTAAGATCCATATTTTGCCAGCATTCAAAGTGGAAGCAAACATTCAAAACTTACTTAGAGATCCTAGTTTGTTACAYGACTTATTTCATGACAAATATTTAATGTAACAAGGGAGAGAGGCAAAATCCAAAGCTTTTTATTTCCCTTGAGATTTCCCTTTGTGGCTTGCACTCAGTGCCTTCATTTGCTTTATATTTCTGAAGATAAATGTTGGATAAATATTTGGCCAGTAACCTTTATGGAAAATGCTTAAGGGATACAAGAAAAGCTGAAATTCTAGTAGAAGTGGCAAAGGAAATTATCAGAGGAAGTTACTGGATTTTTCAGTTATTAACAGAAGGAAGCAGGATATATGCACTGAGCACTTTTATTGAGTGGCTACAGCTTCCTTCTGTGTAGTTTTTCTTCTTTTTACCTCATCTGGACCTAGCAGGACTCTCAGTTTCTGTTTTTTGCTTCATGTGGATCTTTGCACTCTCTCATCTTGCCTTTCATGTGCATATTAAAGCATATATTTTTCTTTGCAAATTATCCATGTAAACTGATCTAATCCACRTGTAACACAAATTATAGGGAAAAAATTGTCCATCTGCAAAAAGGTGTTTTTGCAAGAATTGACCTTGAATTTTTTCCTTTTGTGGAAAAAATACTAATTTGCTTTATAGATAGCTTTAAATATTTTTAGTGTGTTTTCCCTCTTGCCTTCTCAATTGCTTTCTTAAGAAGAGTAGACACATGGATTTATTATGATAAATACAGAAATTGCTTGAGGATAATTAATTTCTGAAATTATTTGAGGCTTTATGCACTAGGAAAAATTCAGCTTTTAGCTCTTGCTATTGATCCATGCTGAATATGTTTATATTTCAGCAATATTTAATTTTATTTGTAATTCAGAGACTTCCTTAGCTTTTCTCAGTATTCTGTCAGGGAAGAGTGGTGTGAAGTAACTTAATGGTTTTACAGGTTTAAATATAATCAACCACACAAAAAGTGTGATGAGTAATTGTATTTTTGTAGCTACATTAACAAAGTAATATAATGGAATAATATACCATCAATGTCTTTAAGGTCTTTGAGAAGTAGAAAAAAAAATCCCCCAGGTGGTTAAGCAAATAGTTTGAATTAGATACCTTAAACTTCTTTTATCTAGACTTAATCTAAGTAAAAAAAAAATAGTAAATATAATATTTTTAGTATCTATAGTTGCACAATAATAATGTCTTGCATTTAAAGTTCTCTTTTGCTATGGAGAGCATCTGTAGTATTTAAAAATAATTCTCCACTTTTTACCTGTTGAGATCCCTTTTTGTGGATGTCATTTTGCAGATTGAAAAACTTAGTCCATCCAGTAGGTCCTGGCCCTGCAGAGTGTGGCTCGTGTCACCGTTGTGTGCAGATTGTGGTTAGCGCTTCCAAGGAGACCTTCAAAATGTCTTGGTTCAGATAGAGTAGCAAATGTGTTCTGGAGTAAAAATACTCTTTTTTTTTTTTTTTTGTCATTTTAAATTGCAAGAATTTTCTGAGTCTTAAGAAAATACAAAAGAAAAAAACCCCAACAGTGCCTTTTTCTTCTCTCTCATTTTCCGCATTTGATATCTTTGGCAATAAAAATTCACAAATACTACTCCAAGTGACAGTAAATAAAATAGGTCTGAATCATTAAAAAGAAAATTATTCAGGTTACATTTCAGATGGTGAAACAAATGTGATTCCCAGTTGCCCATGCATTTCCTCCTCCTTTCTTGCCTGTAAATAGGAAACCTACATATAWGTGGATCCCAATAGTACTATAGAGAAGACTAGCCCAGTAGCTTTTTTTTAATGTAAGTTTAGCGTAAAATGTGCTGGATGGCTGCCATGGGAAGCAGAAAGCTTGTAATTTCAATTACATGGTGTTTCAAGTAGAATAGACCCTAATGGGGAAGGTGGAGATTAGAGATGGCTGCCAAATTTAAACAGAAAACCGCGGAGGATTATTTATGTCTAGCATACCTTAAAAAATGTTGACTAGTTCACCCTATGTGCCCAAACACACCATGGAAGCTGAAAAATTAAACTTTTGGTGAACTCTTATGGAGAAATAATAGAATGTAAAGCACCTACAAACAAAATATTGTACAGAAAGATCACCTGCTTGAATAGTAGTTTTGCTCAGCTCCTTGGTTAGAGTTACTTGGAAGGGAGATTTACCAATGAACTGCTGAATAAACATTTTTTCTTTTTTTTTAATTGAAGGAAACTGGCAATTTTATATTTAAGCTTTATTTAAATTTAAATATGTAAGACATCAAGAAGTGTTAGTGTCAGTGTACATAGAAAACTAAGAATGATTGTCTTTCTCACAATGTTGTCTCCTCAAATTAATTAATAAAATTTGCACTTGATTAGCAAAATCATGTAGAATACAAAGCTCAATAAAAATTCATTGTATATATTTGCAACTCATCAGGAACTTGTGATTGAATTGTAAATTAAATGCAGTATTAGGTGAAGCTAATATTACTCTCCTTTTCATGGTGATTTCTTACATGTTTCACAAAGATCATGCAGTTCAATGTTAAAAGTTTTTAAAACAAAGAAGCACTTTCTCTTGTGACTGGGATATTCTCCCTATTTAGAGAGTCCCTGAAGCACTTGGAAAGAGCAGTTATGTGTGGCAAGCATATACATTTGAATATATGCATGTTTGAATCTGAAGTAGACCAAAAAAACCATATAAATTCAAGCCACATTCTTTGATAATACATTTTATGGTTAACAGCAAAGAGAAAATTATTTTTTAATAAGCATTTGATTTCCAGACGTTGTTATAGATTTGTAACATTAGGCTTTTTTTTTGGACTTAGATAGTCTAAACTATCTGGAATCAATGTGGGCATTTCCACAGGTATGGCAGCCCGTGTCAGTTCAGTCTGCTGTTAAGATCAAGGCATTCACATGTATATTGTTTTTCTAGGAGTAAATGCTGTACTGAAATATAGCCATCAAATCAGCACTGTGCCATGGAATGAAGTTAAAAAGACAAGGATGCCTTCGAGGAACATCTTCATATTATGATCCAAAGATTCATTTATATAAATAGGCCATTTATAAAATGTATATTAGTTTAAATAGGCTGTCTATAAAGCTTAATGAACAATTGGATGAACAATCTATAAAGCTTAATGAGCAATTGGAGGATGGAATATATAAAAGGTACCAGAAAGGACTATTTCTCTTCATTCCTTAGTGCATGCATACTAGATTTTTCCACCCACTTTGTTTTCTGTCATCAGCACACATTCTGAAGTCAGAGTTAAATAAAGGTAGTGTCTTATCTCTGCTATACTTGATCAGTACAAATGATCAAGTACTTGATCAGGATAGTTTTTGGTTAAGTGGAATATGAGGATTTAAATAAATTTCTTTCAAGCCTGGATATATCTTAAGTGAAGTAACTGCTGCCATTAATTGTCAGGTACACACTACAGCAAAGGGGCTCCAGTGAATTCTGCTACAACAGTATAAATTCTTGCTAGAGTATTTGAACCAGAATGCTTGCAAAGCCCCCTTGTTAACATCCCATTTTTCAGCTATTGATGACTACTTGTGGTATTTCTGAAGACTTTTGGTCTTCAAGTATTACCATCATCAACTGACTAAATTTTATTTCCGATTTCATCAGAGTTATATTTAAGCATGAAATTGTATACTCAAGATTGTATTCTTATAACTTTGATTTTTTCCTTACAACGATTATTGAAGTTTTGCTGTCTTGCTCTTTATGATGATACACTATAAAAAATAATTTAAAGAGGCTTCCTTTGCCCCAAGTGTATTTAGGGGAAAATAAAAGAAAAAAAAAGAAAAAAAAAACAGAAAAGAAACTGATTAGAAAATGAAATATCAAACTTTTATTTCTTGTTCTATTCTCAACATTTAGTGATGTGAATAATTTAATAGAGGTAAATAATTTTTAGGGACTGCAACCGGCCTGATTCTGACATAAGCATCAAATTTACATTTCAAACTGAAGTGGCAAATGTTCGAAGTTTATTGGGGAAACAAGTATATCAAATCTAGTGATATGTCTGAAATAAATGTAGGATCACTTCCACTTCTAGGTTATGTACTGTTTTACTCAGCTGTTCCTTTATGATTATTTGGGATTAAATATGGCTAAATTTAAGCAAAGTGCAACCACTGTAAAAATCAATTTGTAAATCAAGATATGTCATTGCTGTTCTCAAAGGTATGTGAGTTAATAACAATGGTGTGAATTAATATCAGCATTTATGAAACATTTGATACACTGCTAAATATGAATAGGCTTTTTACAGAATCACAGAATCATAGACTTTTTATGCAAAAATGTGCAGCTTTTCAGGATTGAATGTGCTTTATAATTATAAATTGGCAGTATATGTTAAGATACTTGACAAATTTAAGCTTCACAATGATCATTGGCACATGAGGTGTTGTTTATTTGGACCATATAGGAAATGTATTATTTTGGTATAGGAGTGTACTTCTGAAGAATTAYATTTATTTTTCCAAAAACAAAGGCAACTGTAAACTGTTTTATTGCTAAAGCAATTTGTTTGTAAGCAAAAGACTATCAAACCCATATTTCCTTCTTCCTTCTTTGAACTCTATACCTTCCTATTGCCTGAGATTCCAACCAGAAATAAAACGTTAAGTGCTGCAGTTATCTTCAGCCACCCATCCATGTTTATGTTTATGTTTATGTTTATGTTTATGTTTATGTTTATGTTTATCTCAAAGGAACACATAAAAGCTTACTGAGTTTGTTGTATTTTAAGGGCAATTTTTGAAAGCATGTTGAATGGATTCCAGAAAATGTGGGTAACTGAATACCATAACATTCAGTGTTCGGATAGGTGGTCTGTTTACCAGTATCCCTGGTATTGCCATCATGATTTAATTGTTGTTGCTGCTTAGAGGAATGCTGCTTAGAGTGGCAATTTTGATTAGGAAATTCTGTGATATTCCCAGAAGTGCTGCTGTGCACGGATACTGGGCCAAATGTTATGGTAATATAAGTGCAATGCCTCTAAATAAAAGTAATTGCAATTCTTTGTCCTGTTACATTGCCTCAGCATGAAGCAAGAGGTTGTGTGCAGGTACATATTTAAAACACATTAGACCAGAAATATTGATTTTAATTAACAACTACTATACACGTTATTTAAGGGAAAAAAATGTTCTGTAATATTTTGCATATAAATCTTACATACTAATTCTATTCATAAAGTACTAGATTAATTTTTCTAAATGAGAATAACATCTTACCCCATGATTTTTTGATCATTTTAAATACACATTTAAAAGTGCAATTAGATGTCTTCCTCTTTCTTTTTATCTGTGTAAGTCACAGGCAGTTTGGACCCTGGATGCCCTGGGTATCAGAACTGGAGGTTCTCCAAGACAGAAACTCGTAAAGGACTCCTTAGCAGCAAAAGAACTTCAAACCATGGAAAAACACCTTGCTGGTATGTATGAAAGCAAATGTCTCACTCAGCCAACYAGCCATGTCAATGTTTTAGACAAAGCAGCTCAGAAGCAGATGAAAATAGATACAAACTTTATTTTTTCTTTCCTTTTTGAAAAGAAACAACATTTGATTGYTGCCTTTGTAGATATATTTTAAATGGTAGTGTAATTAGAATAAATACAGTAATTAAACTGTATTAAATGTCCTGCCACTCAACRTCTTAATTACAATTTTCTTTTACAAATTTTTCAAGACTTATGCGATAAGAAATTGCTGTTGGTTCACCAACTCTAGTTACATTTTGCTTTTCTTTGTAATCAGTATTTTCTTCAGCTTTGAGTATATGGCATGACACTATAGCATGATAGGTCTCTATTGTCATATCATGCTGATGATATGTAAAGCTGCTCTTCATGGACCAAATATAGGAAGAGTACCTATAAAAATAACTGTCTAGATTCTCTGGATTCAGTGTGGTGTTGTATGGCCTGCAAGGTCTTTGCTGTCACATCAGTACTGGTGTTGTCAGCCTTCGGCTTGTTGTTTCACTTACGCTGTGGTTGGGGTTCAGCTCTTTTACCGCATCACAGTTGTTTTCTACCTGAGACCTTCACAAGAAAATAGCCCATTCATTAGACTCTCTTATTCCTATTAACTGAGTTCCTATTATGATATTTTGAAACAGTCAGTTTTCTTTTCCTTCTTTGCATATTGCTCAGTAATTCTTTTGTTGGTGAGATAGTCTCTTATGATACGGTGGCTGCTTTATCTCACACAAAACATAGAATTATTTTTTGTTGGTAGTTAATTCCAGCAACCTGCCAAGTTTGCAGTACTCATTCTTTGTAACTGCATGCTTTTTGAATACATTGTATTACAAGAAAAACTTCTGAATGCATGAACATGTTCTATATGTGTTATGAAGCATGTTCACCTTCTGGCATTTCTGATAGGCAAGAAAGTGCCATGGGTTGCTTTTTTTTTTTTTTTTTGTGGTTTGTTTTCCTTTAAATGGCATTGGCAAAAAATTTTAAAAATCCTAAATCGTAATTCAATTCTCATTTACTGCACATCTGTAAGACCAGAGATTTTATTTATTTAGCTAGTTAGTTAGTGAAGAAGCTGATACTGAAGTAAACTCAAAGAATGTGTGCTAAATAAAACTCAGCAATTATGTTATGTCAAAATGTAAATTATATATGAAGAAATTAATCAAAGTTTGTGTATATGAAGACTCAGTTACTGTATGAACAAAATATAATGTTGACTGAGCTCATACTAAATCAATAGATATTCAAATTTTTTTTAGCATTCTGAAGCGCCATGAACTTGGAGGTCTGTAATTTTGCAAAGACACAGGCTAATTGGACCTTTAGAAGAATATATTCCTCATTTGTTTTAAATCGGGTAACTCACACTATCATTTATTGGCCCCTGGATTTTAATCAGGCGTCTTATGTGTTCCAAAGTGATGTGTATTGATCTTTTTTAAAAGCATAATGGAGGAGTACTTAAAGACATAATTATTTCAAAATGAAAATAACTAGTTGATTTTGTGAGGTCCGTTTTTAGATAGATTAAACTGACAGTTAGAAACCTGCTTAACTTTGTGCTAAAAACGATAACTACATTTCAGAATTTGCTGGCAGCAAAATATTTGATCTTTAAAGAAGCTGAGAAAGAGTGTCATCCAGGACTTCTGCAGTTATTCCAGTTCTGGCATTATTTTTAATAGTAGCATTTTAAATGTGTGGAATATCTTCTAGTAGACTACAATTGTGAAGCTGATACAGATTATTTTCATGTTTCCAAAGTCATATTATAAAATAAGTTAATGTTAAATGTAGCATATCTTTGATTTTTTAGGGTTAATAGATATTCTCTCTCCAACTTGAGATTTTGGCACTTTTCATTTGTTTTGGGAAAAATCAATGAAGCCAGTGAATCCATTTAGGGTGGAATTGGAGTTGAGTTTCTTTGTTAAAAAATGAAAAATGCTTTTGTCTTTGTGTGTGTGTCTGCATGTACAGATATTGAAAAGGACCTAGCACTATGGGAAGAAGCAAGACTATTGAGAAGTCCTAGTATCCAACATCCTAGTTTAGTTACATCTGACCATCCAGGCAATTTTCCAGCTACACAAGGCCAAAATCCAAGGCCCCAGGTATCAACTCAAGTGGGGAAAAACATTCAGCTCCAAGGAAACAAATCCCCACCGTTGCCCGCTAACAGCAGAACCCAGGTCTGCAGTATGGCAAACAACAGGCCTCCCACGCCCAACGCACAAGCCAGTAGGCCTCCGACTCCATCCACCCCAGGAAGCAGACCCGTGACCCCAAATAGCTTGCTCTCGCGACCCCTTACCCCTGTCAACCAGGGAAATAAGGAAGGCATCATTAGTATACAAAGAAGCAGATCTCTGACATCTAAGAGCCAACTGGGGAGGACCCTCAGTGCTGCTTCAGGGCTCTCTGTGCAAATGAGTGGAGACATTGTTGGAACTGTCAATACACAGAGAAGCAGTTTATCAGAAGTAAGATTTTCAATTTAACGTTTTTTTGCTGTAGTTAAGAGCTACTCTAACATGAAGACTAGAGTTATTTTGGCTCATGTTTTACGTTAAAGTATTATTAATATGCCAAATATAGCTTATTATTCAGAGGCAAACTTTAAGCTTAATGATAAGAAAACTGTCAAGGAAATACTGTTCAGCCGTGAGAGGTACTCAAGCTGTCAAGCTGTTGGAGAATGTCAGAATTATTACAGAAATCATCTTGAAATGCTCTTGTCCCTGAAATATTTCATGAGCTCAGTAGAGTTTTGACTGCAATATAGATAGGAGTTTCATTCACCTTGCTGTTTCTAAGACATGCATATGTGTGGAATATTAAGCACAACTTTTTCTTGCTATAATGACAGGGCATAAGATTTCCTTGATTTGCCTTATTAGTTTCATTTCTTTGGCACTTTGCAGTGATTATTTAGACACCATTAAATAGACAGATTTTTCAAAATGCACAACTGGCCTGCAGCAAGAAAATATCCAACATTACTAGCACCATCCAGAACTCTTATGTATGTATAAGTATCCTGGTTCAGAGCATAGGAACTTCTTGTTTCTTATGAATGTCTTTTTCCAGGATTACTGTTTGTTTAAAAAAAAGAAGTTAGTGCCTTGTGATTTTTGAGTCGAATTCTTCTTCACTAACCTTAGCTGCCTTAGCTATCTTGAATACTTGCCTTACAAAGGTGTTAGTTAATCTCAGGAAATGCTAGTCCTTCTCCACTAATCTCGCTAATTTGAGAAGGACCTATATGTCAATATTCCTAATTTATAAATAGCTAAGGTGAAACAAGTCAATTGCCACTATGGCTTACCAAGTTTTTAATCTATTTGTGATTAGATTTTAATCTATTTGTGATTTGTGTCTTTTTTTTCAAGACTGAAAAAAAATTGTTTTTGAGATCAGTGCTTCAAAAATATTTTTGATGTGACATTTGACAAAATGCATGTTATATCAAATTAACATCTTTTTGAAGTAAAATGAAAGTTCTTTATAATAATATTACTTGGAGAAAAATGCAGAAAAATTCAAGTCATTACCTAGAATAAACTTTCAATTATATTTGTAGCCTCCATTTTGTGTTATGAGAGACAGGAAATGGGGCACTGATAGCTCTAGTGCTGTAGAAATTATGGAAGAAGCCTTCTGTAAATTTGATAGTGAAAAATTAACTTAATTTCGTTTTCTTATTTTCATTTTTGAATGGCACTGCATTAATTCCATCACTCAAACTACTCCTTTAGCCAGAATTGGATATCTGGTTGAAGACATGAGAACTGACTACAGTTCAGATGAATTGACTACAGGTGCTGTGTACAGATCTGTGTACAGATACAGATGCTGTGTAGCATCTGTGCAGATGCTACAGATCTGTGTGTTCAGATGCTGACTACAGTTCAGTTGAAAGTATCTCAACTAAGAGTTCACATATTTTCAAACCTGAAATTTTCTGAGAAAAAAAAAAAAAGAATGAACAAAACCTCTTCATCCCTCTTTTTTGAAGGGAGTGTGCATCATTTTGGTGTTAGAATTTTCTCACATGGTAAAACATGAACAAGTTAAATTTAATTAACTAAAAATGTTCAGAAGAAATGAAGGGATTCTTTGCTTCCTGTTAAATACTTTTTTTTTTAACCAGCCCTGCTTTTAACCGATATCTAGTTGTGCGATGCCAGCTTTAATTATGTACAGAATCCTGAAAGTGCCATATAATGAGCACTGTATTTCCACCAAATGCTGTCCAAGCTCTCATTCACTTCTGATGTTTTCTGTAATAATGAAGGCAATTAAAATGCTTGTTTCCACAGCCTTTTTGTAGTTACAGTGATAATATCTTGTGAGATGCATTTATTTCATGTGATACTTGTGTTACTTCTGTTTGCTAAATCCCTTTTTTTTTCTGGTATTACTTACAGTAAGTGTCATAAATTCTTTTTAATATGTTTCATGTACTTAAAAAGCAATATTATTGCCCTATTTTATGTGTAATTAACATGTCCTATATTATCCAGCAAGCCTACTGTAAAGCTGGTGTTAAATCTCAGCATTTTTGTCCATGATTTTGTCCGATGTTCTGTTGCCTTCTAGAAGTGATAAATTATCTTTTTTTTTTGCTCCTGGGACACAGCAGTGTATTTGCTGATATATATACCCAGCCCAAAGTTGGGACTATGTATTCTTTCCTGACAAGTACACAAATGACCTTTGATTTAACAGAAACTGCTCTTGGGACTAGCTCTGATATGAGGGGGAAACCACTGGTATGACATGTTCATATTCAAGATGAAGATCCAAGCTGGAAAGGCCCTCAGTTCTTGGAAGGTAGCTGTTGCAGGTCTATCCAGTTGGCCACTGTCACCCTTATATTTGAAGTCGTGTCCTACAAGCTTAAGTTTTTCCCACCCTTGTTCCCAGTTATCTGGAAAAAGAGAACTGGGTGTGGACAGAGACAGGATTCTGTGAACAGAGTAAATGTCTCTGCTCAGTGATACCTTTTTGCTGTTATAAAGTTTTTTGTTTTCTTTTTTGTTTATTTACTTTTGTTTTTTGCTGTTCTTTTTGTGGCCATATGATCTATTCCATTCTCTTTTTAGCCATGGAGACAATTCTTCAAAGGCCGAAGTAAGGGTGGTCTTGGGTAGGTGAAGAATAACAAACTTTGTACTTTTACAGATTACAAAGGTATGAAACTAGAAGCTGATAAATATATATTATTTTACAACTTTCATTGTAGACTTTGTATCCCCTTCCTGTATAAAAAGAGTAAAATAAAAGGGAAATTGCTTCTATTCTTCATAAATTACTTACGGTGTAAAAAAAAAAAAAACCTTTATATGTGAATGCATTGTGGTTATGTTGCCAATACTATGATAAAATCTTGAAAAGGGGTTGCTGCTTCCTTACTCTTATTCTGGTGTAAATCAGACATATCTATTGACATTAGTGGAATAAGCCAGTATAAAGTGGTGCGTCTTTGAGGAGAATAACTCAGTTGACAAGAATGTCTGAATGTCTGAATACAAGGAGCAAATTATCACAAAGAGCTTGAATTCTGAATCTTCATAATCTATCTCTAGTTGAGTTCTCAGGATTTTTAACATATCTCTTAATGCTTGATGTCAGGTTCCTATTTTGCAATATATTTCAAACACAAAAAGTCCAAAATAGAAAAGTACTATTAAATACAATAAATAAATAAATACAATTCAGGGAGAGGCTCTAACTTTTAGTAAAGTCTGTGCTTTATCATAAGATGATTTACTCTTTTCATAAAAAAAAAATCTTAAATAATTTGGCAAGTACTTAACATTTCAGCTGTTAAGAATTTTCATTGAGACTTAAGAATAATGCTAGAGTTTTGATCTGAGTTGATCTCAGAGTAATGATTAAGTTTTTTTGCATGAGTGTGCCTCTTGGCACACATAGTATTGTGATGTTCCAACAATTGTGTTTTATTATGAGCCATCTTCAAGGCTGAATTGAATATAGCAAAGAAAAGTTACCTAGTGAAATAATTTTGTTATTTCTATAAAACTAATAAATCAGGCTTCTAAATCCTTTTGCAGAGATACTTCCTTGAATTTACTGTCTCCTTTGGTGTTTTGTATAGCTTGACAATGGAGAGCTGAATCCAGCTTCTCTCTTCAGGATGGATTCTGTTAGAGTGACACCAATCTCTGACAGTTCTTTTGAGATGAAAACACTACTTGCCCCCTCGTTTGCCAGTACCTTTTCTGAACACTGGGAACCTTACAAACCCTTCATTTATCCAGATAGTTTAAGGTGGCATTCAGCGTGTTTATTGATCTGTCATTGTTAACCGCAGGAAGCTTTAGCTTATTACAACATTGATTCACAGAAGTTTCCTTCTGGATTACTGAGTATAGAAAACATCATCATGTCATAAGAACTCTTTCTGGGGTCAGATGCTTCTGTTCTGCTGCCTTGCTCAGTTCTTTGCTTTGTGTTTTTGAAAGAATAAAGTATGTTGTTCAATGTGAGTGCCACTTACTCCTGCTTCAAGAGTCATGCTCCCTGAACGAGAAGGTTTGGCCTGTTCAGTGCTTTAGTCAGCAACCTCCTCTAACACTGAGAACATTTAAAATGGCAAAAAAAGGATCTCCTGCCTGAGCTTAATGCTTTTATATTTTTCATAACATCTGTTTAAAACAACAATTTACTGCCAGCAAGCAGTAAAGGCTTTCTCCTCTGTGATTGATTGAGGCTTGAGTGTTTGCTGTAATTATACAAGACAATTATATGTCACTTAATCTAAAATAGATCTGTTTATGGCAGGATGAATTCTTACAACAGCTTCAGCTTGCTCATCAACCTTGGATATTGCCGAGTGACACAGAAAGTGAAGGACTAGAAGCTGACCAAGACAAATGTAAGTATACTTGTTAGGAGCTGATAGTATGTCAAAACAACTCAAACGTTGGATTCTCTTTTTCATATCACCCAAATCTACAAGGAACTCCAGCCTGTTGAGATGAGCTCCATCTGTTTGTATACAGGCGGAAGTATTGAACTTAACAGGATTGATTTACATAAGCATTTCTGCAGTCACTGAACATTGACAAGATGATCACAAACTACAGTTTACCTAACTAAGTGAAAGAATTTGTACTGATGCATTAAGATAGCTGTTCCAGGAAAAAAGAAAATCATGAAATATTAATAGATATTCTATGTAGGAAACTTGAATTTACAAGATAAAAAAGAAAAAAAGAAAAATACAGTAGGTCTGGAAGTGTCATGCTTTCTTCTCAAGATTGTGACTCCATTATCATTGTTTTGCCTGATTTCTTTTCAATTCCTCTGTAAGCAAAAAGATTCTTAAGCACTCAAGTAATCCCTAATATCCTAAACTCTTCTAAGATTGTCTAATCATGCAAGTAAAGGTCAGCAGGGTCATGACCTAAATGAGAGAACAGGTAAGAACAAGAAACCCATACAAATTGCAATACATTCAAGCTTTGACAAGTTGTACTTGGTTGCACAGTGTCTAGAAATAGTTTTGTTGAAAAATTTAAGTCCTTGCAATTTGGTTTAAATTTGCAGTAGTTTTGTGATCTTCAGGGGTGGATATATGTACAATTTCTTAATGTATTTTAGGTGATATGCTTAAGAATGAGCTATTTTATCACCTGTTCAGAAAACTTAATAGCTGTAACTAAAAATGTTTTAAACATGTATAGTTAAAAGAAGAAAAAGCCAGTTTCCTCTTGTAATGGAAGAATTGTTTAACCATGCCTGAATGTATTTTTAATTATGCCCTTCAAAAATCAAAGAATTTTCTGTTTGCATAACAATTTCACAAATGCATAAACAACCCCTGATATGATTATGAGATTTTATGACGTTTACATACTTACATTCTCAAAAACATTCCTAGTACTTCTTCAGTGTTAAAATGAAGTTCCAGCTATGTTTCGTTCAAAGCTGGTAAATCTCCATTGGTTTGAACCTGAACTTCTCACTTATCTTAGGGCTGAAGCTCGCCATAGGCGGCCAAAGGGAAAACCTGGTTCCTTCTGCTCCTATGGACATGAATTTGCATCTGTGTTTTCCCTGATGATTTATATTTATATAAATCTTATATATATATGTGTGATTTATGATGATTCTGGTAGATCATTGCTCCTGCCAGAGCAGAGAGCAATAGACCTCCCTCCAAATCATTAAGGAGGTTAGATATGGATTTAATTGAGTGCATAGCTATTGCACAACTTCATTATTGGTACTTATTTAATAATAATTATTTTACCTGGATCTGGCACACGGAGAACATAGAAGGTAATTGTAAACTAGAGTTTATTTATTAAGCAGGATTTACATTTGTAACATGCTCACATTTGATTTCCAGACTGTGTAAATCTGCATAGTTATCTGCAGCACCATTTATATTTCTACTTCAGTCTTTCTACTAATACAACCAAAATAAAAAAAAAGAATGTTTCATCAAAGCAATGTACACTGTATCCGAGATCTAATAATGATAAATAAATAGCAATCATGTGTTTATTGTGGCTGTCTGAGGGGGAAATACTGGTGTCATATGCAAGTGCCAAGTTCAGAACTACTGCTGCTAGTAAGGACAATGTGCCAATTCCCAGGTGCTGAAATCGTTCTAAAAGTGGAGAGTCATTGAGGGGTCTGACCTACTTGCTGATGCCAGTGCTTGTAGGGTGAGCATCCAGCAAGATCATGCTTCCTTTTTTACCCTAAAGTTAGTAAATCTGTGTGGATGTTGTGTATGTGATTTAGTGTTGAGGAGGACCCAGGAGTTCATAATTTATGAGTCTGAGCAGAAGATCTGCAGAATTAATCTTTGCAATAGCAACACCTGTTCTTTGACTCAGCTTTTAATAAATTATACATAGATATTATTTACAACATTCTTTGAGATAATAGCAGCCAGGTGTAAAGCTAGTTTTAGGTAGTGGGAAAACTAACAGGATGAAAAGAGATACTTTATGAGTCACCCTGAGTTGTCTTAAATTAATACCTTCTGTTTAGTTAGCATCCTACAAGAAAATTAAGAAGAAGCTTATTTTTTGGGGGTAATAGTTTCGAATGTAATCAGATGTAAGAGTTTAAAGCAGCTATTTTCCAAGAGAATGGTAGCTTTCCAGGTTTGGGTTACTTAAGCATATCAAAATCCCCACAAATATCATTTGCAAAAAAAGATGTGGCGTCCATATTGCCTTATGGAAATGTTGCTGAGATTCTCATTTCTTGAAAAAAAGCTGACTTTACTCTCTAAGTCCTTTAGGTCCTCTGACAGTATTTTAAGAATTTATCCTTGCCAAAAACACACAGATATTACTGGAATTCAATTATTTTTAAAGCATCATGAAAAAAAATGAAATAAAATGGGAATTCATAGAAATGGTGTAAATTAATACAGAGAAAAGGAGATCAGTCATGTTAAAAAAGGGAAGAAAAATATTGTAAGAAACATGATTTTTCAGCCAACCTCTCCCCCTTTATATTCTTAATTAAGTTTGTGACTGAGAGGGAGAAAAAAAGAGAAAATCTTATAGTGTAAATTTTGTGATTAAAAATGAGAACCAACACGAGTTTTTTTTTTTTTTTAGTTGCATACGGTAACTAAATCTCTTCTGCTTGCTAGGAATGTGCCCCTTGCTATTCTGTGCATGTTGAGCACAGAGGAGTGGAAATGGTCCAGGCAGTGTGCTTGTTCTCATCCAAAACTTACTCTGGTTCTGTGGTTTCAGCTTCACTAACAAAGCAGTAGGAACAGTAGACAGGGCCTCTTGTGTTTTCTGCTCAGCTGTCATTCTGAAGACAGTTCTCCGTTATCACCTGTAATATTCTGCTTGTGTGCCGATTCTCCCCAGAGAGTCAGAGGATAAATGGAGATCACTGTTTTCACGAAAAGAAAGGAGATCTGGAGAAAACACTCATCACCTCTACAATGAATTTTATTTGGTGAGCGTACCTATAGCTGGCAAAGCAGTTTTCTTCTTTATGGAGTACTGACACAAGGAAACAAGCTTCTCCAATCACCAGAACATCAGTTAGTCAGCTTTTATGAGAAGAAATTTAGATCAATTCTGCCTTAATTTCTCCCTGAGAATAGGTCTTGTAAATATTGCTGGTTGGCATTTTCTAATGTATCATTGACTTACTAGCACCTTGAAAAGACAATTTGACCTCCTTAGCTCTGGAAGGAACTTATTTGACAAGCTGCCCAAAGGACAGAATCTGACAGAATTTCAGCTGCCTGATTCTACTAAGCAGATTTCTGGATATAGAGTATTCCTACTTGAAATCTATCCATTTGTCTGATGTGTATGAAAAGTGAATGACTTGGAATCTTAGGGAACTTGCTGCTTGTTTATTCAATATTAATGTAGTCACATATATATGGATATATTCGTCTGCCAAAATTTGGTTAATGCACTTCAGTTTCCATTGTTATTGGCACACAAAATGCTGTGGCTTCTATGGTTTCACTCAAACTTCTAATTTCCAGCAGGCGCACCAGATACTTATTTCTAGCTGGGCTGCTGGAGGATATTTCTACCTACTGATCTGTAGCAAGTCAATTAAATATTTTGTCATTCTGCCATTCTTTTCTAAGAGTGTGCAGTGGAAGGTCTACTTTTGACATATCAAAGCTAATTTGGGGGAGAAAAGTAGGATTTCCATCCCATTCATTCATGTACTGATCTTGAAACAGTACAGGCAAAGGCACACAGCTAATGAGTTCAACGGGTAGCAAATAAACCGTTCATTTTCTCATTCTATCCAAATGTCTATCTAATAAAAAGACTAAAGAAATCAAAGATTTTTTTTCTGCAGACCGGAGAAAGCCAGTGTTCCAGGATAATTCCAATTTATCAGTATTTATCAATTGGTACAATTACTTATACGGAGCAAACTCATGTAACCAAACAGTTATTTTTCTTGATAAATTATCCAGATAAATGGTTCTAAGATTTAGAAAACAACTTGATCAGAGTTGCTAATAAAGAAGAGGATGCTGTTGGAATACCTTTTTGTTGAGAAAATTTCCTTTCATTGGAGCTAGTTCTATTTAGTATGAGAGAATCAGCACTGGAGCAGCAACAATTGATTGCAATATTTATAACGGTAGCATAAAAACATTCCATTTTTACAAATCAAATTCAGCTACTTGTATTGTTCTCTGTGCTCTGATGGAACATACCAGCACTGGAAAAATCTCTTTCAGGGGCTATTAATTTAGGGTAAGACCAGATTTTCTATCTCTAGGGAACAAACTTATTGAAGGACACTGGACAAAGATTAGTACTGAATTATAGGTCTTGCTAATAAGAACTTAGTATTTATGGTTGTAGTTTTTTTTTCATGATGGCAATGGTAAATTCACCAAAAATATGCTTTTCTTGTCTCCAAAGTGGGACAAGTTCATCTAGACTGAACTTCTTGGA